TCCTCTGCTTGAACTGGTTGAATGTTGATCAATTCTTTTTGGTACTGGGACTATTGCTTTCATATTCTTTTTTTTTTAAGTTTTATTGTGAATTGAGTGATAGTTTACATGGGAGAACATTGGTTTTACACTCATCCTATCATATTTTGTTTCACTGCAATTACAGTTTCCTCCGTGCACATCATTCCACAGTATTTGCTTTTATTTCCTCTGTTTTTGTTGTGTTTTTTTTTCAATGTACACAAAAACACGCAGGAATATATAATTATTTAACCAACCAAACAGCACATTCTGCAAGCCTGCCTCCTGGCCTCCAACTCACAGCCTTTCTTTCCATGTCTAGAGTCCTCAGCTGCTCTATCACTCCATGTCACCATCTCTGCCTTCATCTCTGGTGTTGCTGCTTATCTGGATAGGGTCCCACATTCCGCTCAAGCTCTTCTTCCTTGATGGTCCTAGGGTCCTCTGCTCCTATCATTTAAGATTAATTACTCCCCCTTTTTTGTTACAAAACGTGTACCTTTAGAGTTGTGACAATTCCAATCCATCATGATAACAGTTACTCACTATTGAATCATAAGAATCTTATCCCTATTTCCTTTCACCAGACCTGTGTCTAGGCAAGATTCTACCTTCCCCCGCACACTCTGAAACTAAACTCCCTGTTGAAAACTTGAAAGCCAGTCACTTTGTGCCGCTATAGTCCCCATTTTAGGTAGCCAATATCTAAGTGGCTCATCCCTATCAACCTTACATAGAGCAGGCATAGGATTGATCCTTGATGTGAAGACTCTTTTCTTTTCAGTTGGTAGTTTGAGCTCCTTTATCCATAAGTATAGGTCAAGTTCATCAAATTGTAGCAATTTGCACTTGTTTCCTTTATAAGTTTTTTCTTTCTTTCTTTCTTTTTTCTTCTAGTTGAATTCTGATCATCAAACCACCAAAGCTAGGTCAAATGGGTACTATCTGCAAGTTTGAGCGTTCTTGTGCATCTCCTCTCACTTCATATCTCTGGATGCTTCACTCTTGGCTCTAGCCCTCCATGGCTATGTCCTTGTCCATGGGCTCAGGAGTTCCCAGGTCTCACCATACTTTGGAACAATCAGCTCTTCCTCTTCTCTCTCTCATCTCTAGGTTGACGGGAGTATATACTTCCATGTTCTTTTGATGCTTCCTGTATCATTTAATATTTTACTCTTAGAATCCTCCAATATTGCAACCTAAGACTTGAATTTATTCTTTAGTTCTTTCATCTTGAGAAATGATGAGCGAGTTCATCTCTTTTGGTTTTCTAATTCCAGGTGTTTGCACGTTTCTTTATAATACTTTTCCTTTTGTCTTTCTGAGCTGCCCTTTGTAATTTTCTGTTTAACTCTTTTAGATCATCCTTTCTTCTATTCATTTTAGCTTCTCTATGTTCAAAAGCAAGCTTCAGAGTCTCATCTGACATCTGTTTTGGTCTTTCCTGTTTCCTTTGTATTCCTGATGTCATTCCACAACTCTGGTCTTTGGTCATTAGTGTCTAAATGCATCAACTCTATTCTTGAGATGGTCTCTAAATTCAGATGGGATATACTCAAGGTCATATTTGGCTCTCATGGATTTTGTTTCATTTTTTTCAGCTTTAGCTTGAGCTTGCATATGAGTAATTGAAGGTCTGTTTCACTGTCCGCCTCTGGCTGTTTGTTTGTTTTTTGCTGATGATATTGAGCTTCTCCATCATCTTATCCCACAGATGTAGTCTGTGTGTGTTCCATATGATAAAGTCTATATATATAATTGCCTTTTATGTTATTGAAAAATGGTGTTTGCAGTGAAGAAGTCATTGGTTTTGGAAACTTATACCATGCAATCTCTAGCATCTTTTCTGGCACCAAGGTCATATTTTCCAACTACTGATCATTTCTCTTTGCTTCCAACTTTCACATTCCAGTCACCAGTAATTGTCAAAGTGCCTTGATTGCATATTTAATCAATTTTTGACTGAAAAATTGGTAGACTTCTTCAATTTTCTTATCATTGGCTTTAGTGGTTGGTGTAAATTGGAACAATAGTGGTATTAACTGCTCTTCCTTTTGTTGTTGTCAAGTGTTACTGAACCAATTCTGAATTGTAACAACCCAATACAGGGTTCCCGAGGAGCAGCTGGTGAATTGGGACTGCCAATTTGTGGTTCAAACTTACCTTCTATTCTAGTGCTTATCCTACAATGCCAGACCAGGCTCTCACTATATGTCTTCCTTTTAGACATGTTGTTGTTGTTAAGTGCCATTGAGTTGATTCCAACTCATAGTATCCTTGAACCACTTACCTTGCTATTCAGATCGACCTTGCAGGCCAGCACATTAACGGGTATTATCTGATCACAGACATCATTATATTTCAGGCTAGATCGTGAAATGTTCATTTTGGCAATGAATGCAACATCATTCTTTTGCAATGTGTCATTCCCAGCATGCTAAACCATATATGGTTGTCTGATTCAGAATGGCTAATGCCAGTCCATTTCAATGCTAAGTGGCACTATAGGGTGAACACTGGACTGCTGTCCACAAGTTTGGCAGTTCAAATCTGCTAGCCTCATTGTGGGAGAAAGATGAGGCTTTCTGGTCTTATAAAGATTTACAGCCTTGGAAACCATATATAGGATCACTATGATGTGGTATCAACTTGATGACAGTGAGTTTTGGTAATGTCTAGGATATTGATATTTTTGCATTCTTTTTCATATTTGATGACTTCCAATTTTCCTAGATTCATACTTGTACATTCCATGCTCTGATAATGAGTATTTATAACTGTTCTTATACTCCATCAGCAAGTGAAAATCCTGAAAGCTTTACTCCATTAGCATCATCTTGGTTAATTCTACTTTGAGGAGGCAGCTCTTCCCCAGTGGTCTTCCAACCTCAGAGGCTCATCTTCTAGAAAGCAGACACTGATCTAGTCACTGCTATTCATAAGGTTTTCAGTGGCTAACTTTCCCTTGTCTGTTTTAGTCTGGAACCTCTGCTGAAACCTGTCCACCAATGGTTACCCTACTGGTATTTTAAATATTGGTGGCATAACTTCTAGCATCATAGCAACTTACAAGCCACCGTAGCAAAACAAGCTGCCAGATGAGTTGGATTCATATAGTGATGGAAATTTTCTTTATCTTGCCTATATCAGTGTCAGTATCCTGGTTGTTAAACTATACTGTTTTACAAGATATTACCCTTGGGGGAGCCTTATTAAAGCTTTATCAGGATCTCCCAATATTATTTCTTATAGCTGCATGTGAATCTGTACTTTGTTCAAAACAAAAAAAATGTAATAAAGAAATAGATTACTAAATCGTATAGTCTAGAAAATGGATTTATAGAAATTTCCATATGAAAATGATGGAGAAAGTAGATTTTCCATAACCACATAGCAGCACGTTGCTATAACCTCTTTATAAAGTCATTTCTAAATGGAGGTCTTCAAAAAGTTAGTAAAAAATACCATTGTCATTTAATTCCATTTTTCCACCTACTTTTGGAAGCCCCCTCATGTCTGTGTATGCACATACATGTGTTATATGTATGTGTGTATGTGGAATCCTGGTGTGGCGCTATAGGCTAATGCAATGGACTGCTGATCACAAAGTTGTGGTTCTCTTAAGTTTTCAATGGCATATATATGGCTATATATGTTATTGAAAACCTAGAAAGCTGCATAATAAAACCAAAAAAACCCAAACCCATTGCCATCAAGTTGAATTCTGATTCATAGCAACCCTGTTGTTGCTAAGTGCCGTCAAGTTAGTTCCGACTCATAGCCACCCTGTGTAGGGTGTATAGGGTTTCTGAGGAGTGGCTGGTGAGTTTGAACTGCTGATCTTGCGTTCAGTGCATTATCCTGGTGCGCCATACGAGGACTCCATAGCTACCCTGTAGGACAGAATAAAACTGCCCCATAAGGTTTCCAAAGCTATATATTTTCACAGGAGCAGACTGCCACAATTTTCTCCCTCTAAAGGATGGTGGTGGTCTTGTTAAATGCCACTGAGTCAGTTGCAACTCATAGTTTCTTTGTATAGGGTTTCCAAGGAGCAGCTGGTGGGTTTGAACCGCCTCGCGGTTAGCAGTCCAGTATGTATCCTACCGTACAGCCACACCACCAGCCTTTTGGTTAGCATCTGAGTGTTTAACCACTGCCCCACCTGACTTCATACCCTACTCTTGTTTTATGTATGTTTTAGCTTGATTTCTTAAAAATGACAGTGGCTTATGCTGGGGAAAGACATAAAGCCTTAACTAAAAATAAACTGAATTAAATATCATCTTAGAAAATACTTTTTCAAATTGCACATGTCCACATTCTCGCCTAATATTTGCTTTCACCCATTCTCCCTCTCTACCAATTATAGTCTCCATGGCTTGATGTAAAATTCTCATTACTAGACATGAAAAAGAAAAAGTATTAGTTGTTTTATTACAGGATAAAATTAAACAAAAAAATTAGCATGTTTAATTATTGTTGTTGTTTTAAGTGTTACTGAGTTGATTTCGACTCATAGTGACCATGAATAGGGTTTCTGAGGAGCAGCTTGTGAGTTTGAACCGCCGACCTCATTCAAACCAACCTTGTGGTTGAGTACTTCTATTGCGCCACACCATCTTTCTAGTAATCAGTCCCCTTGTTAAAATGGAGAGGTTTCTGTCATTGAATGGTCTCTTTTCTAGCCAGGCCAAGTGTTAGAAGGGGTACTCCATTCACCTGTATCTGCCTTTATAGAACCCATAGATGTAATTTTTATTCTCCTTTTTCACTATTTTAATGAAACATTGAAACTGTTTAATGTCAGTCTATTGAAGACAGAGACCAGTATCTTGAGCAGTGCCTGGCAAATAATTGGCACAGTTGAGCGAGTGAATTTCACTCTTTCTTGCATGTTTTTGTAAAGGTAGCAATGGTTCACATCTAAGTTTCATGAAACATGCAAACATTTTGATTAATCCTTTGTTTCTGTACAGGAATTTCGGCAGAAGGTTATGCTAGGAACTCCTTTCCTAGTTATTTGGCTGGTTGGGTTTATAGCAGACCTAAATATTGATTCTTGGCTCATTAAAGGGCTAATGTATGGTGGCGTTTGGGCTACAGTACAATTTCTTTCAAAGTAAGTGTGCTATTTTTAACTACATTTTTAAAACTGTACATGAAAGAACATAATTTAGGCCCTGGTAGGATAAAAATAATGTTTTGTATGTTTAGAACACTGCTTTTATGTAACATGTTTAATCTTAATTGTATAAAATCTTTTGACAAGATAATATGTGAAATCTTTTAGATTTCTTAACATTATGTAAGTGATTCTAAAGATAATTTCCATGACAAAAGTCTAGCATGTTTAATTTTTAAGCCTAAAATACATTTTAATATATATTTGAAACATTTTAATAAAAGTGATTTTGGATTTGTTGAACTCTAAATGTAGCATGCGTATTGCTTATTTGTAGATATAGTAATTTGAATATGTGAACTCACCTTTCCATAAGTATCAAGAATTTTATTTTCATTGAGCATAAACAGTAGAACAAAGAAGAGTTTTGATTTTAGGAGTAGTGTCTAAGAATAATTATGAAGCAGGTGCAGTTATTTAATTCTCTTCTTCCTTTTTTTAAAAACTGTTCCTTCTACCTCAGCATCCCATTGCTCTAAAGCTGCCCCATTTAGGACACTTAGGCAGGCCCCTAAGATCAGACCTTTTCTCCTAATTTTCATTCCTTTAACACCTTGTTCTCAATATTGAGTTTCATAAAAAAAAAAGGTCTGAAAATAACTCAAAGAGGTGAGAATGACTAGTAAATCACTAAGTGTTAATCCTTAAGAAGGGGTTTAATTCCAGATAGTTGATCTCGTTTTAATATTTCTTACAGCTCAGAGAGATACGGACAGGAAGTCGCCTGTCTAGCTTGAATAGATGGTTAATTCTACTTACGTTTAATAAAATTCATTAATTTTTATTTTGCCTAAAATTTAAATACTGTAGATACTGACCTTCAGTTCCACTAAGTTAGTTTGTTTCATAAGAAAAGATGTGTCCATGGTTTTACTGGAGTGTGTATTTAAGGAGTAATAATGATAAAATATAGAGAAAAACTTGATGATTGCTTTATACTAATTTGTCAAAATTGTAATACATCTTTGGTGAACAATATACTGAATAAATAGAGTTACTTTGTATAAAGTGAAATTTGCTTTTCAGAGAGGAGTAAATTGAAATTATGAAGTTGGAAAATAGATGGAATAAAATTTTAATCTTAGTGAATTAGAAATGTTTAGAACATGGTTAAGTCATTTAGCAATGAGTTTATTGTTGATTGCCATGAAAACTGTAACAGTACATATAAACATCCTAGATTCTGGTTAAACCAATGCTTCTACATGCAGAACATAATATAATTTTCATTTAAATGAATTAAATACTAATTTTTTCAATGAAATATAGAACTCAAACTTTATAAAACTCATGTTTTACAGATCCTTTTTTGATCATTCAATGCATAGTGCATTGCCCCTTGGAATATATTTGGCAACCAAATTCTGGATGTATGTGACGTGGTTCTTCTGGTTTTGGAATGATATCCTTTGGTTGAAAGGTTATGTCTAGAGCAATTTTTATTTGTTATTTAGCACTGTTGTTGTTGTTGTTGTTAAGTACCGTGGAGTAGGTTCCAACTCATAGCGACCCTGTATAGGGTTTCTGAAGCTGTAAACTTTACGGGAGCAGAAAGCCTCTTCTTTCTCCTGCGGAATGGCTGGTAGTTTCGAACTGCTGACCTTGAGGTTAGCAGCCTGATTCGTAACCACTACGCTACCAGAGCTCTTTTTTACTAGGACTGAACTATTCATGATTTGTTATAGTAAACCAGTATTCCTAGAAGAATAATAAATGTGAACTATTCTAAATATTATTTTTAAATTTTAATGTTTAAGTGGATTTATTTGATAACTGCTTTTAATAGCCATAACGCTAATGATTAGTACTAAAAGGGCATTATTTTCAATCATTGCATTTATTTAATCTGCATTCTACTTCAATTTAGTAGATGAAAAAAATTTAGGCTTACAGAGTTAAAGTATTATACTTGCTCAAGGCCACACAGTTAATCTCTGTAAAAACTGGAGTTGAAATCCACATTTATCTGACTCCATAATTAATGTTGTAAACCTCTCTATTAAACTGTGATTTTCATGTTTTAGTATCAAACTATTTTCTCTGAATATTTTGTAAATATCACAGCTTATTATTTTCTTGTAGTTGGTAACAAATTTTTTCATAGATATTTCGTATCTCTTTTGCTTAATGAAAAGTATGTAACACTATAACTTTAAACCTTTGCTACCTTCAGTAAATTATTTCAGTATAGAGTATTTCTTAAAAAATAATATAATTTGAATTGTGTGCATGTGTGTGGACTATGAATTGGGACAATTTAAAATTTTGATTATATTAAAAAGTTGAATTAATTTGCGTAATAAAGGTTCATGTTTTAAAACACCTCTTTGTTTTTAAAATATTATAAAAAGCACATGTTTTACATAATATGCAGTGTTTGGTGACTTGTAACTGTACACAGTTCTAATTAATAGCTCATTTCAATTCCTAGTCTTGTATCTGTATACTTACTTTTTGTTAAATTGCCTTGTAGTTTAATTTGCAAAGCAAATGAACTTGTTTCATTATTTTTAGAAAATTTCAAACTTCTTTATACTTCTTTAGTGGAAGTAACTATTGAATTTTTCCATGTTTTGATTTTCACTAGCTTATTTTGGCTTTGTAGTGTGCTTTAGGGATTTGTTAGTTAGAATGGTCTTAATTGGAATATTTAGTATAAGACACATCTGCTTTTTTAATTACCTTGTATATTTTAAATTTATAATATATAGACATATTTCCTATGTAGTGCTGTAGGATCAGCACTGGTTGTAAACCACAAGGTCAGCAGCTCAAACCCACCAGCTGCTCCTCAGAAACCTGTATAGACAGGGTCACTGTGAATCTGAAGCTACTTTACAACAACAGCAACAGCAAAATTGAATATTAAACTTTATTAATTTTTTGAAGTCAGATTTACATCTCAAAATATTTTTAGGTTGTTGCTCTACTCCTAATCTGAGTTATACATGTAAATGGAGAAAAGCAGGAAAATACTAAATTACCAAATAATTAATATTTTTTTTATCAGAGAGCATTATATAGTATAATTCTAATTTCCCTTCCTATTTCTTGTCTTTATTTGTGGAGAATGCAAAGTGACTTAAAATGAGGAGTTGAGAATATAAGAGATAGATTTTAAAGGGAAGGGCCTGAGTATCTAGTCTAATGGAATAATTTTGCCCTCAAATAGGTCGGTGTGTAAGTCATTTTTCAATGCATTGAATAAATTGCATGTATTAGTTTTTAAAGTAAAAATTGCAGTATGGAAGTACTAAGTTTTATACTTTGTTTATATATAGAGGGAGGAAATAGTTCTAGCTCATAGAGTTCTTGAGAAGATAAATATATGTAGCTTAGAAAATACCTGATAGTAATATGTGTTTAATAAATGTTACTATACACACATGAGGAGATCTGGTAGCATAGTGGTTACGAATCGGTCTGCGAGCCACAAGGTCAGCAGTTCGAAACTACCAGCTGTTCCACGGGATAAAGATGAGGCTTTCTGCTCCCGTAAAGATTTACAGCCTCGGAAACCCTGTACAGGGTCGCTATGAGTCGGAACTGACTCCATGGCACACAACAACAACATACACACATGACTTTTCAAATCTAATTAAGTTTCATACAGATGGACTCTAAAATGTGCAATCAGAATTTCTTTTACTTGAATGTTATGTTAAGGAGCCTTGGTAGTGCAATGACTTAAGCTTTTGGCTGCTAACCAAAAGGTCAGCAGTTCGAGCCTACCAGATGTGGTAGTCCACTTTTGTAAAGATTTACAGCTTTGGAAACCCGTTGGGGCCATTTTACTGTGTTCTGTAGGGTTGCTATGAGTCAAAACTGACTCATTGGCAATGGGTATATGATTTGGTTTGGGTTTATTGTGCTCTGGAGTATGGAATAAAATCATAAATATCTGATTATCAACACAGGAACCTTATGTTGTTCTAACATAAAATGCCTATATTTCCAGGCCGTGTGTGATTTTGGAATTAAAAGTTTTTAGTATGAAACAGTATTCTGTGGAGATGTGTACTTAAAACACATCATAACTTAAAAGAAACTGAGATCAGCAAGAGACTGGTAATTCCTCAGAGTTGCTGCCATTTTATATCTGTTCCTTAATCATTACTTTTTAACATGAACCTCATGGCTTTTACTTGTCTCACATCCTTTGTGCTTGTGTTATAACTTACTGCTCATTTCTGTTCCTTTCCTACAGGTGATTTAAGCACATCGCCACAGCATCCTCAGTTTCATACTGAAACAGCAACATGTTAAAGAACTTAGTGTATGAATTTCATTCTGTTTTCCTGATTTTAAGTTCTGGTTAGATGTATATATGTTTTAAATAGTTAAATGTAAAATATAATAATAATAATTCCATAAACATTTAAGTTAAAATGCTGTTTTAAATACTTGTTTTATACCAAATTGAAAGGGACCATTTAAACATGAAATCATAAATTAAAACTGAAACAAAAAGATACTTTTGTTGCCTCTAAAACTGGCAATATATATATTTTTTTCTTTTATTTTTTCTCAGTCATACATTGTTGTTGGTGGGGTTATAAATTGGTTTATCTTTCTGGAAAATAATCTGGTGGTATGAAAGTATGTATCAAGCTTTAAAATGTTCATGCCCAAAGATATTATTCTCATAATATTTAATGATACAGGAAATTCCACTGAAGACTTTGGAGAGGTCAAATAGCATAGGAAATAAGAACCTGGGTTTTAGCACTCACTCCACTACCTACTCACTTTGGACTACTTAATCTCATAGGGTTCTTGTGCAGCTGTAGATTCTGTTACTATCTAGTCAATGATTCCAACTCATAGTAATCCTACGGAGCAGAGTAGAACTGTTCCATAGAGTTTCCAAAGCTGTAAATCTTAATAGTAACCGACTGCCTCATCTTTCTCCTGTGGATTGACTGGTGTGTTTAAACTGCTGACCTTTTGGGGAGCAGCCGGGCATTTAACCCCTTAGCCAAGGGTCCTAAATGACACATAATTGATGATTAATAAATATTATTTTATTATATTAATCTTAAAAATTAATTATAGTCTTATTTCAATTAGTAAGTGAAGGTGCCGTCTCTGAATAATGCCAGAGATTAGCATTCTCTGCATATTTGCCTAGCTTTATTCTTAAAGAGATTTTTAGCTAAATTTTGTTCTTCGCTGACTGTACCAGAATAATGATGCTGAAGGGGGTGAAGGCAAGGCGTATAGGACACTGGAGAGAAAAGGAAAAGATCATTCACTTTTTTTTTTTTTTTTTGAAGTGTAATTTTTATTTTATTTTCTTGCAGGTTAGTTTTTCTTCAGCCTTTAAGGGCGTAATTCTTTACATGGGCTTTAGTGGCGGTCGTGGGGCAACACCTGCAGGTCTAAATCGGGGTGGGGGTGTTCAGTCCTTCCGAGCTTCACGAGAGTGGTTCCTGACCACTTTGCTGTGAATGGCACAGCGCACACAATCATGTAGTTTCACGTACAGCTTGGGAAGCACGTATGCGTCAAAGACACTCGCTTCGAAAATATCGCTGATGGCTGCGGTCTCTACTATGTTGTTACGAACTTCTTAATGGCCTTGTCTCTGGGCACACAGCGGGCGCAGTTCGTGCAGCGAATAGGAGGCACATGGCCGCGGCCCTTTTTGGCACGACCGTGGTTTCTCCGTTTGTCATCTTGGAAGTGAGAACCCGAGAGAGCAAGAATTTTTAGAAACTATGAGATGATAATGGGTAGCTAATCATTTTTTTTTTTTTTTCCTTCTTCCCCTTTTTCTCTTGTATTTTAATATTTGTGTGTGTTGGGGGGGGGTGCTGTGGTATTTACCAAGCAAATGTCATTTTTTCCCAATCTGTGCTTCATAAGCAATGTAAACTGTGTCTACACATTGCAAATTCCTTGTATGATATTTATACCTACATAAAGTCTTAAAAATGATATTTGAACATACCAAATGTTTTCATCTCAGAAATGTATTGCTCTAGAAATATTGCTTTATTTTTCCTATTTTTTTTTATTTCCTTAAATGTCTTATTGTGAATTATGTGATAGTTTACATGGGAGAACATTAGTTTTACATTCATTCTATCGTATATCATAATATATATTGTATATATGTAATGCCATGATTACAATCCCCTCCATGCAATCCTTCCCCCGTGCCCCCC